CAGTTAACTAGTTTGTGGCTTGATATTGTTTGGTATTTTAAGCTGCTGTTTTTAATTAATCTCTTAGTAGATGTCATTACTTGGCCAACCTGGTCTGTGCCCTGAAGCTACACAGGGTAGAACTGCTTAGTGCTTGGATGGGAGACCACTAGAAAATTCTGGGGTGGTAGGCTAGACTGACAAATATCTATACATCCTAGAACAATGCAGTCAGATGACTTGTACTGTTGCCAAGAAAGTAACAAAGGCATTGCCATGAAATCACCAGCAGCTGAGCACAACTCCAAAGTGGTTTTCCAGGGCTACCAGATTTGGACTATAAAACTCCAGACATCCACTAGATGGCAACAAAGAGATAAAGAAATTCTAACTGTTTGTTGTCATGTCATTGTCATCCAGGTTTTTGCAGCCTAGATTTTGAGCTTTTAGTGAAAGGACAATAAATGAATATTCATTTATTTATTTATTTATTTATTTAATTTATTTGATAAATTTGTATAGCCACCCATCTCAATATGTGACTCTGGGTAGTAAACAATATCAAAATAAATATAAAAACAAATATAACAAATACAAAAATTAAAATACATAGCCAAGGAAGTATCAGAGTCCAAAATCGCTAACACAGCCAGGAGACAGATCTGTTCACACACTTGGGGTCCCAGGCCCAGGCCAAGAACCAGGTTTTTAGGACCTTATGAAGGGCCAGCAGGGTCAGGGCCATCCTGATCTCCAGGACAACATTCCATAGGGCGGATGCTATGGCAGAAAAGGCACGCTTTCTGGGCCCCACCACTGGCATTTCTTAACCAATGGGACCTGAAGCATGCCCATCCTGCCTAACTGGACTGGACGGGTAGACCCAACCAGGGAGAGATGATCCCTCAAGTAACCCAGTCCCAAGCCATGAAGGGCATTAAAGGTGATAGCCAGTACCTTGAATTGCACCCAAAAGCACACTGGCAACCAATCCAGCTCATGAAGTAGTGGTATGTGCCCCAAGTAACCAGCACCACTTATTACCCATGGGGTAACAGAACAGTCCCATGTAGAGCACATTGCAGTAGTCCAGACAGGAGGTTACATGAGTGACAGTGAGCAGGGTCTCCCAGTCCAGGAATGGGCACAACTGATGCACAACCCAAAGGTGTGCAAAGGCCCTCCTAGACACAGCTACCACCTGCTCTTCAAGCAGGAGCCATGAGTCCAGGAGGACACCCAGATTGCATATCACCACCATCATCATCTGGGATGATGGGATATCATCCTATTTTATCTCACTTGGATAAATGAAAATTTTATTCATGGGTTCCTTCTTGCAGTTTACAACAAACCCACGACTTCACCCAACTCTAAGAAGGGACTATATACTAGCAGGAGAGTCAATCAAGTGCAAGTTCAGTGAGACTTGTACATTAGTATGACCAGATGCAAGGGAAGACAGGGCACACATCCATTTCCTAGGTCTGTAGGAAAGAGCATTTTAGCAGATGCCACCTGCAGAACAACCAATTATTAAAGGTGTGTGACCTCTTGTCTTTTATGCATCTAGCCAGCTAGGATATAAGATTCATTGAAATTAATGGTAGGTTGCATGAAAAAGATTGTCATGAGAATCTCCTGTTGGAAATGACGGTAAAGATTATTCTGATCTGGTTCTTATGCATTTGTCTTCTGAAAGCATCATTTTCAGTACTTACTTTTATTTTACGCATTTATTATTGCAAATATAAAAATAATATCTAATATCTGATTTGTGAGATAAATTTCTAGATATTCTATTGATATGCTCATTCATGCATTTATATGCCATTCTGAGGTCCTAAAAAGCATTCCTGTAGCATCTCACATAAGAAACCAAACCAAAAACAAGTCAAATGCAACAAAACTGAAAACCAAGTATAGTATATGAAAACATCATAGATAAGATAAATAAAAATTTTCCTTTCCTATTTAGTGTGTGGGGAGGGAGGGAGGGAGGGAGGGAGGGAGGGAGGGAGGAGAGAGATCCAGAGCTTACAACCTTCTTCTAATACAATTTATGGAAGAACTTTTTACACCATTAAATTCAAGTGCCTCGTTTAAAAAGAACCTTGCAAGCAGATCAATTTATACTTGCTGTAAAGAACACTTGAAGGAATATTATATTTCTTTCCTCTCAATCCTTTTATGAAATCATGTGTAAAATCAAGTATCTGCAAAGTATTTTAGGCAATAATTTCCTAGAAGGAAATCCTCCTGGTTTGCCACATAAATATTAAGTAATAATTTCATTGGCATGACCGACATTTTATAACATTTGGTTTCTTATCATAGTTAGCTTGGTGACTTGTTCCCAGCCAAGGAAGCAATCTAAGTCCTGATAAGGTACTACAGAAACATCTAACATAAATTACCACCAAGTTCAACAAACCACCTCCCTGATTTCTCATGATGCACATAAAAAGGGGGCGGGGTGTTGATTGCATGGTTGTTGCCACCATCTTGACTTTTGGGGCCTCTGAACATGTTGCACTTCAACTCACATAATTACCAGCCAATACAGTTCAAACCCACTTAGGCTAAGAATTGTGGGCACTAACACCCAACACATCTGGAGAATTGTTGATTGGGGAAGGCTGGCATCTGCTGAGAAGCATCACCTACCTCTACGCAAAAGAACGCTGGATGGGGCTAGCAACCTGAGTCTTCAGCTGATGGAACAATGCATCCAAATCCAGAGAGGAAAACTACTGGTAGCTGAGACCAGACGTGCCTAGCAATCCGCCTGCCTGTCTGCGTTAGTCTTCCCATTTTCCCTCTAGATTTCTCTTCCCTCTCTACATACTTAAATTGTATGCAGAGAAATATTGCTCAGCTTAAACAAAAATGCATGCGTTATCAAAAACTCAGTATTTTTAAATCAGAAAATGGCATCTCTGGTGTTATGCTATCATTCATTCATTCATTCATTCATTCATTCATTCATTCATTCATTCA